CAAAGCCCCAGGCTCAGAGCGAGTGTAGGGGTACAGGGGACCCTTGGCCCTCGTTTGTGGTAAAATGGCTGGGGTGTTCCCTCAGCGGGGGTTTTGGTCTTTTCCCAGCACATTTGGATGTCTTGTTTGGAAACGTTCTTTTGGGGGGTGAATAAATAAGGGCTCAAATGGCTTGAATGAGGGAGTGGGGCTGCATCCAGCAGGCATCAGCGAGGAGGTGCAGCAGGGTGTGAGCCTCCCTTCCCCCTCTGGATCACCCCAGCCACCTTCCCTACTGGGGTCTGCTTCTAACCCACCCCACAGATGGGGAAACTGAGGCACAGCCCGAGGCTGCATGTCCACAGCATCCGAAGCCCCTCCAAACCCCACTGAGCCCTCGAGCCCCCCCGGAGGCGCACGGCGGCGGGACGGACCCTACCTTTGGGTAGCACTGGCACATGCTCCAGATGATGCCCACGACTACGAGCAGGACGCCCAGAGCGCAGAAGGTGATGTAGATCTGGGGCTTTTCTACGCTCATGATGAACATCCCCGTCATCACCAGGAAGAAACCCAGCATGATGAACCCGTAACGGAAGGTCTTCTCCTCGGCCATGGGCGCGGGGTGGGAGAGGCAGGGGAGGGGAGATGCCGGGAAGCTCGTTTCTCTCCGGCTGCTGCCCGCTGAGCACACCTCCAGGGTAAGGCAAGGAGTGGTTTCTTTCTCTGGAGGCTGCCAGGGGCTGAGGATCAGCTGCACGTTGAGCCTGGTCCTGCCCAGGGCTGAGCCAGCCAGTTTTTAACGGGTTTGTAATGAATGCAAACACTGACCCGCCGTTCACACTCCAGTGAAGCCGCCCGGCACGTGTCCGGGTAACCTTCCCTGCAGGCACACGCGGCCGGACCCCACGGCCTGGGGAAGGGATGGGGAGGGAGAGGGAGGCACCAGAGACGGGGACCTGGAGGGAGGCTGATCCCAACGGGACTTTCCCAGCCCTGGGTGCTGGAGCTGGATTTGGCTGTAAATCGGAGCTGGCAGAACCCCAAAATAAGGGCGACGCCAGGGTGCAGCGTGTTTTCAAGGGCTGCGAGGCTGCAGCAGGGAAGGAGAGGGAACTCCGGGATCTTTTTGGAGGCTGGTGGGGTGGGCTGGTGGGGACCCACCAGTGGGGCTGCCTCGGTGGGGTAGCAACTGGGCTGCGAGGTGGGGGCTAAAGCCGTGGAAGGATGAAGCAGGGTTGGTCCACCCAGGGGGAGTGAGGACAGAGCGTCTGCGTGCCGCGTTTGCTTAAGATGGAGCTGGGGTGTTAAATTCTGTCCCCTTCCCACCGCACGTTCCACAGCCGGAGGGTAGCGGTGGGTTAATCAGCCTTCTTTTTGTTCCCTTGTTTTCCTGCCCGTGTGGGAACACGTATACCGGGCTCATGAAAAATAACCTATTATAAACAATATGTGGTATGGCTGCAGCCCTGCAGGTCCGCAGGGGGCCCAGGGCAGCCACGCGTCCCTGCCCCGGGAAACGGAGCTGGCAGAAAAGGCTTTTTGCCAAGGAGACGGCGGCTGTGGCACCGATCTCAGTGATGCAGGATGGCCCATCAACAGCTTGGCTGCACCCCACAACATCTGGGGCTGTGCATGGCACCCTGGGACAAGCTGGGACCCCCCAGGACCGGCTGTGAGTCCCTTGGGACCAGGGTGAAGCTGACCCCAGCTCCCCCCAAAGCCAAGCTCAGCTCAGGTGAGGAGGGAGATGTGCCTTTGTCACCATGCTCAGAACTCTCCCTGGCCACCAACCTTCTCCATGAGCCCTGGGACCCTCCCTGGGCTTGGGGACACGCATGACCCCACTGGGGACAAGGTGCTGAGAGCGGGGCGTGCTGGGTTCATCAAAGCCCTTATTGATTCCCCCTCCAAAAATCCATTTCCAAGCAAGACATCCAAATATGTTGGGAAAAGACCAAAACCCCAGCTCAGGGAACAGCCCAGCCATTCTACCCCTACCAAGGACTGAGGCTCTGTGTTTCTTTCCCCCCCAGATAACGTTCATCCCTGTGGATCTTGAGGCCGAGCGGTTCCTGGACCACAAACCCATGGTGCTGCCGGAGAGGGATGCCCGGTAGGTCCCAGCACCCTTTTGGTGGGTGTTTTCATCTGTACACACAGTTATCTGCCTGCCCCCGGGGACAAGGGCAGCGTCTGAGCACACTGGCACCGGGGACAACTACACCTATTGCAGAAAAAAAAATGACACGCGAGGGCCGTGGTGGGGGAGGCAAGGGCTGGCTGAGCTGTCCCGGGGCTGGAGCTGGAGCGATGCTGGAGGGTGCAAAGCATCCTGCTGCTGTCCTGGGGCATCCCCTGGCACGGACCCGCTGCTGGCGTGGGCAGTGATGTGGCCTCGGTGGCCTCTAAAGCACCTGATGGAGGCTTGTGTCATGTCCCTGAGCATCTCCCGGCTCCCTGGGGACCCAGGGCCTGCTCAGCACCCTGTTACTCCTTCACCCGCAGCTTGATTACACCCTGCCCCAACCAAGAGGCCACCAGCACCTACGAGAAAAGCTTGCCATCCTACGAGCAGATCCAGAGGCAGGAGGTGGGCTTGGACTCACTCCCACCCACGGGCCAGCCCAGACCCCGCAGCTGCTCCCAACTGGCCGTGCAGGCGAAAGCAGAGGTCCACCGAGAGATGGGGGGTGATGGAGAACCCCCCCCAGACCTGGCACCGGCAGCAGGCAGCTGGTACGTGATGTCCCCGGGGTCGGGGTGGCACTGGCAGGATGTGGGGTGGAACTGGGGGGTGTCAGACCCCCGGTGTGGCGGGAGGGAGACTAGGCAGAGGGGTCTCTGCTGCTCACACAACACTGACCCCCTGCACCTCCAGCCCTGCTGGAGCCCAGACTCAGCCCATAGGGAGTCTCAGTACCAAATTATTTCCCCAGAGGATATCTGGATTGCATTTGGTTATAATTTGTATTTGGCTTTTATTTCATAAACAGCAACAATGTCCCCCACCAGAATAAATCCCAAGCTCCTGGTCAGACTTTGGTAGAAATGAGACTCTCAGGACGTGTCCCTCAAAGCAGATGCCACATGTGATGGCTGCGCATTGGTTTGGGAGGTCCCAAAAGCGCTTTGCAGGAGATGGGGGGTCACCGTGCAGCCTTGGGGCGTAGGACTCGGGCACGTCCTCTGCCAAAACGCAGCCATGGGTGCTCTGCTTTCTGCACAGCCTGCGAGGGTGGCCCCATGGGCGTCCCATGGGCAGGAGAAGGAACCCGGCAGGTGGGTTGTCCCCGTAGAGGCAGGCACGGGGGGCTGAGATGGGGGAGACAGGGCCCTCCCCATGCACCCCACCACGCAGCAAGGGGACTGGTGATGCTGGGCCGCTGACTGAGCAACGCCGAGCCCAGCACCAGGTCCAGCAGCCACCAGCTCTGGGGAAAACCCCAGCTTCTGCACAGCTGCCTTTAGTGTAACCCCCACCCTGCCCGCCACCCCTCAGCTCTCCCTGTCCTTGCAGCCCCCCCCGGCCAGCCCTGGGGGACGCGCCGCTGGCGTCGCTCCTGGAGGATATGGACACACCATCGCTGGAGGGCTCCGCGCCTGGCAGCCCCCTGCCACGGGGTCGACACCCTCCACCATCCACCGCCCGCCCCGGCTCTCCAGCGGGGAGACAGCAGCCCAGTTCCTCCCGCAAAGGCGCTGGGGAGGAGGATGACCTTTATTATGGGCTCCAAGAGGGGCCTGATGCTTTGCTCGAGGATAGCGACTGCCTGTTTGAGCCCGAAAACTGATTTCCCAGAGAGAACGGCCGCTTGGCATGGACTCAGCTTGTGGAGGGGACGCAAAGGTCGCAGCCTGGAAGAGAAGGGGCTGGGACTGACCCCTGAAGGCGCAGGGTCTGCGGCGTGGAGGAGCCCTCAGGGTCCTGCCTGTCCCCTGCGCCATGCGCCCACCCAGCCGCAGGAGAGTCTGCCGCCCCACAAAACCCGAGGAGAGCCCTGCCACGTCCTGAATTTCTGCAACTGAGGGGACAAGGCTCCCCCTCACCAGAGCCCGTTGGGTGGGTGCAGATAAGTCCAAATGCTGGGCTGGGCAGAATCCAGGCTCAATAATGAGCTTAGGAAGGGAAAAGATGAGCTTTGCTGCTTGAAACAGGAACAGCGTTTAGGTAGGTAAAGATGTATTCACCCACCTTTCCAAGGCAGAGATGTCTGCAAAGCCTTTTTCCCACTTACCAAAGCCCCCGTGGAATTAAAATGAGATCCTGGTACTCCGGCAGCAGGCAGCCTTCATGTCTCCAGGTTGGGAGAGGGGTGATGGGGGCAGACAGACCGGCTGTCCCCCATCTCCTGGACAAATTTCCAGCGCCAGCAGGGACAGAGGATGAGCTGAAACCCTGGTGACAGCTGTGGCTTCTCGAGGACCTGCTCAAGGTGGTGCTTTGGGGCAACATTTTCTCTCTCTGCCAGGTTGGTGTCAACAGCCACAGCGCTACCGGTGGCTCTGCATGCCAGAGCCCCCGTTCCCAAACTCCCTCTGAATAATAAGTGTTCGTTGAAGGCTCGTTGATGGAGATAAGCCTGGTTTGTCACCATGACAGGGGCAACCCAGCAGCTTTTGAGCAGCCTCTTTGCAACATGCAGAGACAGCAGCGCCGGCGGGAGCTGCTGCGACCTCCGCCTGCCCTTGGGCTGCTCGGGGCCGCAGGGATCTCTGTGGCTGAGCCTTCCCGGGGTGGCTGCGTTCGGATCAAAGCATCAACGGATCCAGCAGTGTGGGGATGCTGAGAGTCCCTCTCCCTGTTTTGGGAAAGCTGGGCTGGATGCTGCTTGGGCACCCGGCACGGCCCCAGGAGGCTGGAGGCACAAATTTGTGCTCTTATTTATTGCTCAAATGTATGCTCTTATTTATTGTTCAAATTTATGCTCTTATTTATTGCTCTTCAACAAATTTATGGGGGTTGACCAACCCAAAAGCAGGGGGGGAGATGTTCTCCGGCACCTGAGGGGGATGGAGCATGGAAACGATGATCCCCTGCCGCCCAGGGAGTGCTTTGCTGGTACAATCCAGCACGACATAAGAAACGGCTCTGCCTGGGG